CCAACATGGCCAGCTGGGAATACAGATGGGGTTTGGAGGTGTTTGACCTTGGCATATGGGAGTTGTAGTTCGTCCACATGTAAAAAGCACCGAGCCCAGCTGATGACGGATCTGGACCAATCTTGGCACGCAGACCCAACATGGCCAGCTGGGAATACAGATGTGGTTTGGAGGTGTTTGACCTTGGCAAAGGGGTTCCTAAGACCATCAGAAATATGACCTCTGGGTTGAGAAGTGCTGCTACAAAGGATCACCAGCAGCCCACACCCCATAGCTCCCAAGCTCCCACACATGGGCACACACCCCCGGCTCAGCTGTTCAGCATGAGCCAGTACTCAACAGCAAATCTGCAAGGATTCAGTGGAGGTCACCCATCTCACCCTCTCTCTTCACCCTAGCAGAGGCTAAAATGTATCCAAAGCATCTCCATTTGCAAACCCCTGCTACTCTGTAGCTCTCTGTATCTCTCTATATGACATTTTCCATCTTATTATTATTATGTTTAGTTATACCACACTTTATCTCCCCAAAGGGGATTCAAAGTGGCTTATTATTATTATTATTATTATTATTATTATTATTATTACTATTATTATTATCTAATCTATCTATCTGGAGGATTGCTGGGAGTTGCAGTCCAGGAATAGGAAATTGGAAATCTGCAGGGATTGGGATGCTCTCAAAGAAATCCAAGGAGGAGAAAACTTTCATCTTCAAAGCTGTGGATTTGGGTCATCCTCCTCTCCTAAAAGGCCTGGTCTAGGGGATGCTGGGAGTTGTAGTCCTGAAGAGAGCGTGGATATGCTTTCGTGTGTTTTGTTTGCCAGATGAAATTGATTTGTGCATGCGCTGTAGTGTCTTTTTGCTTTTTTGGCTTTTTAAGGTTCTTCCGTTGTGTTTTCCAGTGTTTTTATGAGTCATTGTCACTTGTTGGCCAGATAGGTGGATTGTGTCCAAATTTGGTGTCAATTCGTCCGGTGGTTTTTGAATTATGTTCATCCCAAAAATGAACTTTACATTTTTATTTATATAGACTAGCTGTCCCCTGCCACATGTTGTTGTGGCCCAGTGTGTGTATATGTGTTTTGTGTGTATATATGTGTGTGTATATTTGAAGTCGAGCACCCCCTCCCCCAAAAAAATAAGGGATAATGTTGTGAGTCAGCATTCTGACACCATACCTACTACTAGTAGTAGGAGAAGAAGAAGGAGTGATGCAGAA